TTATGAATGTTTCAAGCTTGATATCTAGAAATTTTGATGAGTACACTCCGAACTCAGTCATGGGTATTACAGGGTGCTACAATCAATAACCATTATTTTTATTTGTTTCCATATAAATGTCTCTTATTTTATATACCTGACTGCTTGGGCCAAAGATTTAAGCTCCCCTGTCTCATTAACTCCCGGAATAAGACAATTTATTGGGCATGAGGATGATTTTTGAACTAAGGTCTCTCTAGGCCCTGCAGTCTCACAAGAAATTTTACCACTCGTTTAACTACTTTAAAGAATGGAATTTGGGGGTGTTGCCCAGAATCATAGTTTTTTACTAAATAACCTTTTTATCAGAGAAACTTATCTGATGACAGAGCAAATATCTAACTATAGACACTAGGTCTTTGTCATGTTGTTAGGGGGAAAAGGATGTCCTAAAGCTAATTCCATACAGGCTTTGTGGACTCCACCCCCACCCCAGGCCAAAGCCAAAGATGCTGGGAACCCCAAATCCCATCACCACCAAAGGGAAGGTGGCTGGGACCTGAGGGTGGGGTTAAGCAGCCAAGTTGGTATAAAGCCAGACATGTGGGCTTTGGAGGGGTCCCCCATTTTGACTCTCCACCAGCCCGCAGCGTCCGGCCAGCTCGGAGAGTGCTTTTTGGGTTTCCAGGTCGGCAGATTGGGTAGGATGCATTAAAGACTTTATTTCCCTATTTTCTCCCTGAGTTGTACATTTTCCTTATTTCCTTTTCCCTTGTAAATAAACCTTTTATTAACCTTTTGTGTGTGCCTGTAGTGGAGTATTAATAAGTCCCTTGTAAGCCCGCGTGTGAGGACCCACAGTCAGGCAACCCGTTCAATATCGGGGCTGCCCTATAACAATATGAGTTATCTTCTCCATGTCCTGTGAGTCCCTGTAGACTCTTGTTGAAACCCCAGGTCTTATCCCATTACTTAGTATAGGGTATAAATCCCATTTTTCCTAACTGACCTTGGATCCATTTCTGGTGGATTCTCTGTATATACATAACAAAATCAGCTCTTTTCTCCTATTAATGTGTTTGTAGATTATTTGTCTAGCCTGAGAAAAACTGAGGAAAAGTGGGACTTTCCTTCCCTCCCCAACATGGCACACTTTTCATTGGAGTTCAAATGTATATAAGAAAGAAAACAACTTGTTATTGTGTCTTGATGACTTCCACAAAGAACACTTCACAGGTATTAGCATCACTGACATCACAAATCAGAGCACTACTACTGTATGACACAGCTCCTGTGGATTTTATGGGGCATGAATAAGAGAAAGTACCTACTGGCAGCATATCTCTTACCTTATATACTCAACTGGTTTATGCATGGGTGTTATCCCTTGATGGTGAATGATATGGGAGGGATCCTTGCATTGGATTCTGTGATGAAAATCCTTCTAAGGATAACTGAAATATTTTCCCGTGAACCTGGATTAGATGGAATGAGTCCCTATGTACTGTTGGCAGCCTTAATGCTGACAGGAGTGGGCAGCTTCTTTGAGAATGGAAACTTCTCTAGGATAGCAGTGGTAAGAAGCAGACAGGGTAACAAGCATTTGACCAAATCACCCAGTTCTGGAGAAAATCAAACTAGCATTTCATTCATTTCTTCACTTTGTTGAGACTGAGCCAATGGTTTTATTAACTGTTCAAGTCAGTTTAGATTGATCCCAGGCTCACTTGATTTTCTCATATACTTGATGGGATTAAAATGTTAATTTCATTTTCACAGTGAAAGTAATAGAATGAGGAAGCTCAGTGATTTGTTCAATTTACACTAGCTAGTTCAGAACTATTGATTCTTAGTTTAGAACTATCTCTATGAAAATGTTATCCAAAATTAGTCAGAAGGAAAAAGATAAATACCGGATGGTCTCACTTACATGTGGAGTATAAAGAAACCAAACGAAAGGTCAAGAAAAAGTCAAAACTAGCAGCTGACCTTAGAACTGAGGCAAATAGCAAAGGCAGACCTGGGAGGAGGGGGCAAAATAGGGGAGGGATGAACATAAGGGAATAAGGTGATGGTTCAAGGTGATATGGAGACTACAGCGATGTAAGAAAAAAAGTTTAATAAAAACTACTAGCAAAAAAAAGAAAAAAATTGCATTTATGAAATGTATCATGAAAAACTATTTTCAAACATATCAGGGGTTCTATTAAACTTCAACTCAAAAAATTCTTGAGAGTGGGCATCCAGGTTTTCTACATAGAGACTTCCATCTACTTGCCTGGGCTTGTTTGTTATGATGCATGAACTGGGCATTGCAGCCAGTCATCCTCACCTCTAGCTCACCTTCCTTTGCCCCCACCCTCACCCTCCAGCTCTCTTCTTTGCCCACTGACAGTCTCTAGACAGCCCCTGCTCATACCTCATACTGGGAGATGTCATGGTGAAATCAGGTTTTATGCAAAGAGACATTTATTCCATATGGGAATATGAAGAACTGGGGCCTTAGGTTTATTCTCTGGAGAATTTTCACCTAAGGGGTTGAGTTCTAATCTCTTTAGTTACCACAGAAAAATACTGGAAAGTATTCATGGAATGGTTCTGAGTACTCCAGGGAATGGAGTCTCTAGAGCATATGGAAGTTTCAAAGCTATATAATGTTCTAGATTAATTGAATGGACTCATTAAATTGTATTTGTGAACAGGTAACTTTTGGCTAAAAGTTAGATTTATGATAAAGTAGAGGGACACACAAGGGACAGAGCCAATAGGTAAGAATGTGCAGATTATGCTTGTGTGACTGTTCGTTGGAGATACTGTTGAAATGATGTCTCTGTTCTCAGATCACTAAATACAGCTGAAATATTTTTATCAGTAGAACACTTTCTTTATGCTAGTCAATTTCCTTTTCATTCCTTGCAGAAAAATGTTTAGGCAGTATAAAATGTATAAGAGCTTTGCATGCACCAATCACAAAATCTAGGAAGTTGTCATTTGGAAAGGAACTTGGTAAATAATTCCAGTTGTTATCTTTTTAATTGGAAGGTTGAAACTTGGAGAAAGGAGTGACCTATCTATGCTTCCAAGTCAGTGAGGTATCCACGATGATATTAGGATGGTCTAAGTTGCAAAAAGAGGGGTAGTATTTATGATCATACAATGCCTTTTGGTCATTCCATGACATGTTTCCAGTTGTGTTATATAGGGAACAATAAATTTTCTATTTTGAAATCTATCCAATTTTGAATATTTGTGCCTGACTACAAGTTTTTCTTTTGTTCCATTAGAAGTGAGTTTAAATATTTCATCTTGAAATATTTATTATTATTAATATGTGAGATTTTTGTCAACCAGAATATAAATATAGCTTATACAGATGTTCGATTTTGATAGGTGGCTATGGTCAAAATCAGACTTAAGTCAAGTTGCCTCTACAATATGATATTCTGCTGGTTTTCCTCCCACAACATTGTATTCCCTCAGTTTTGCTGTGTCTTTTTGTCTTCCTGGCTTTCTCATTTGCCACATAAACTTCCCTGATTTTGAAAACATTACTCAAAGATCGGTAGGCCTTCATTCTACTCCAGAGTTGTCATTAAATCCCTTTTGAATCGAACAAGTCAGCCTGCCTTCTTTATTCCCCTTCCTGTTTGCTAAAGACCCAAAACCCATGGCTTCTGGTGACTGTAGCGCTTCACCCCTCCTTGTCCCACATTCAGAAGTATCTTTCATTAAAATTTCTAAAGCATTTGCTATTATCTTGCTTCTCACCAGTGTGGTGGTTTTTCTTTTTGTTTAGACACTTCATTCCTTAAAGGTAGAGTTTGTGTTCTTCTAACTTGTGAGCATTTAAGAAGAAATAATTGTTTAGCATCTGTTATGGGTCAGAGACTACAGCATTGTGAATATAGCAAAGAACAAAGAAAATCTTTGTTGTGCTGAGTTTATGTGCTAGTGAAGCAGTTTGTTTAATTGCATCCAGGTATAAGAGCTGGGAGTTAGAAACACCATGTTAAGGAGTGAGGTCTTACTTCCCCTTTTAGGTAGCATGGTCAGCTATATGTTGAGCTGCGGAATGAAAGATGTGTGATCTTGCAGAGACTAAATGTGCGACAAGAAGTATTTGCTGAATAATTAATGATTAAATGAACATCTTGATGAAAAATTTCACAGAAATAAGTGCAGAGAAAAAAGGTTGAACTTTTGAATACAGGTTTACTATGATTTTAAAAAGTTTTTTTTTCTTCTTCCCACCATCATTATGGCCATGAAGAACTGCCATGAAGAATTGGTTCCTGGAATTTCTCAATTAGGTAATGCCAATATACTTGGCCAGGTATAGTCTGGCTGAAAATCTGTGAACCGAAAGTGAATTCACACAGTTTACAGATCACCAATATGGATACATCTAAAATATAAGCCCTTTGTTTCTGCAGAGTGCTGTCATATTAGCCAGTCATTTTTACTTAAAAAATATTTATAAGAGGTATGAATCATTTTGTTGCACTTCTAATTATCAGATCATCAGCCCTTTGGTGGTTGTCTTTTCCTTTTTGTCACTTTTTGACACTTTAATTTTTGTATTTCTTAGCTTGATATTTATACAAAAGTGGAAAGTAGATTACCACTTTGACAATGTAATCTGAATGAGACCTATAAAATATGGTTATAAAATGGGACCTATAAAATGAGGCTATAAAATATCATTTGCTTTAAGGCTAGGTTTAACTTTTAAGCTACGGAGCATATGAGTTGCAATTGAATTTTGATACTGTGATGTGATTTGTGGATAGAATTCTGAGACAGAAACCTTCTTTTCTCCCTTTTTATTTGAAAGATTCAATAATTCGAATAACTGGCAACTCTTCAAAATTGCCAGGTAAATTTCCATGTGGATAGGGTCTTATTTCACTCTTCTACCAAAACTGTTTGGGGTAAATGCAGAGGCTGGGTCTAAGTTACTGGATTGTGACTTCACACTTCTGTTACTATGTCCATAAAAACTACACACACTCAAAACTGAAATGAAAAGGCAGAATCAGAGCTCTGTGGTTGAATTCATCCTCTTGGGCTTTTCTAACTATCCTGAACTGCAAGGGCAGCTCTTTGGGGTTTTCTTGGTGATTTACCTGGCTACTTTCACTGGAAATGTCATCATTATAGTTGTCATCTCCCTGGAACAGAGCCTCCATGTCCCCTTGTACCTGTTTCTCCTGAACTTGTCTGTGTTAGAAGTGAGTTACACTGCAGCTATTGTACCTGAAATGCTGGTGACCCTTTCCACTGAAAGAGCGACGATTACTTTTGCAGGCTGTTATTCACAGATGTACTGTATTCTCTTCTTTGGTGGGACTGAATGTTTTCTCCTGGGGGCAATGGCTTATGACCGCTACTCTGCCATCTGCCATCCTCTGAACTACCCAGTGATTATGAACAAAAGTGTTTTCAAGAAATTATTGATTTTCTCATGGGTTTCCTGGATAGTGGTGGCTACTGTACAGACCACATGGGTATTTAGTTTTCCCTTTTGTGGGCCCAATGAAATTGATCATATCTCTTGTGAAACCCCAGCAGTGCTGGAGCTTGCATGTGCAGACACTTATTTTTTTGAAATCTATGCATTCACTGGCACCATTTTGATTGTCTTAGTTCCTTTCCTGTTGATACTCTTGTCTTATGTTCGAATTCTCTTTGCCATCCTGAAGATTCCATCCAACACTGGGAGGCAGAAGGCATTTTCCACCTGTGCCTCCCATCTGACTTCTGTTACCCTCTTCTATGGCACGGCCATTATGACTTACTTACAGCCTAAATCTGGCTACTCTCCAGACACCAAGAAATTGATGTCATTGTCTTACTCCCTTCTTACTCCTCTGCTGAATCCACTGATTTACAGTTTGAGAAACAGTGAGATGAAACGAGCTTTCCTGAAATTATGGCGAAGAAAAGTGAATTTACACACATTCTGAGTGAGCAATGCGATATTTGGTTATTGTTTGCCTGAAGCCTATTGGAATTAGATTATGCTTAAATTAGCTTGCATTTTTTGAGATGAGTGTATTTAATTTGGAAGTTCCCCTCTTTGGGTACCCTCCCTCATTGTGCATCATCATTCATTTGTTATAGGACATACGAAGTAATAATGTATTGATTGGTTGTGAATGTCCAGGTTTTTACTGTATTGTTGCCATTAACATGAATCATCAACAAACTTCTTGCTCTGTATGTTCAAGTGTTCTAATGTTAATTTCTCTGTCGTGGTTTGAAGTGATTTGATTCAAGCCAAATTGCATCTGGTGGAATAAAAATTATGTTTATGTATAATTTTAGTGACAACAGCATAATTGCTTTTCAAAATGGTTGCGGCTCCTAAAGACTGACCTGAGCTCCAGCATGCTGCACTAAGCTAGACTCTCACAGACCAACATGAGATTTTATTTTCTGGAATGAAAATCCATTCCATGAATAAAAACATAATAAAACTATTTTGGAAGATCAAATTGTCTCTGCAACATGGGCTTTCATGGATTATAGTATTCACAACAGTATTTCCTTATATTTTCCCAGCTATTTATCTATTGTTGGTGGCTGTGAACTCCTTGGGAACTTCACTGAAGTTGCACTCAATATTTAGGACATTTTGCATTGTTTTTAAGAAAATTTTACATATCATTACAGTATGTCAGTTTCTAGTTTAGCATTTCAGAGTACATTTTTCCATTTTTAAGTTTTCTATATCGTTATTATTCTGATGTGTTATGCTGAGGAATGCTGCGGAGAAATCTGAGTCAGGATAGTAGGGTTGGGGTTGATATTACCAGACTAAGAGCATAGGCAGTGAGCATTTTCAAGAGCTATAATTCCTGTTCAGGGAAAAGTGCAGGCAACAACTGTGAGATCTAAGTATAGCAAGTGGGTTTGAGAAACAACAAGGAGGCTCATGACTGCGTGAGAATGAAAAATGGGTTTATGGAGATGAGCTCAGAGAGTAATAGGAGAAAAGAAATCCGACTATATTTGTGAGTGTCAATTGTGTATTGAATGGGATTGGGTATAAATACAGTGATAAATGTGACACAACTATTACTGTCTCCATAAGCCCTTTGGCCTGTGTCTAGAATGTTTCTATGCACTTTTCACTGAGGTCAATATACATATAGAATGTGTATAAATCATGATTCTACATGTTGATGATACCTCAAATTGAATCACCCTGTTACTGTTACTTACATGAAGAAATATTTAAAATCAATGCCCTTGGGATTTCAGGGCCACGATCATGGCAAGTACATACAGGCAGCATTTCCTACATCTGGTGTACATGCCTGCTTCTTACATGGGGTGAGATGTCCCGTGGTGAACAGTGTGGAAGGGGTCATGGATTGGGTTCTGTGGATGAAAACCCTTCTCTTTGCGACGACTGGCATATTTTACAGTGGACATAGATCAGATAAAATAAATTCCTCAGTGTTGTTGGTAGCCTTCTTGCTTCCAGAAGGAATGAACTTTCTTAAGAATGGAACTACTCTAAGAGAGCAGCTTAGGAAGAAGCTAAGGTAGCCTGACATCCAGTTCCGGACAAAGTCAGGCCAATAGATTCATTCATTTCTTCACTCTGATCTCAATTAATTGTTAAGTCAGTTTCAACTCACCCCAGACTCTCTTCATTACTCAGTAAGATGAAAAATGTTGTGTTTATAATGGAGTATTACTCGGCAATCAAAACAGATAAACTCATGCCATTCACAGCAACATGGATGGAGCTAGAAGGGATCATGCTCAGTGAAATAAGCCAGAAAAAAAAATACTGGATGGTTTCACTTACAGGAGGAATGTAGAGGATCCAAATAAGGGATCAGGGAACAAAAAAAAGTAATAATAATGAAGTGAAAATCAAAATAAACAAGCAACTATAAGTCAGAGACATTCTGCAGGGGAGGAGGAGAGAGAAGGATCAAAACAGGTGTGGGAAGAACACGAGGGACTATGGTGATGGTGCGCGGGTGATGGTGCACAGGTGATTGGTGCACGGGTGAAAATGAAGAACAATGTAAAAAATATATGAAATAAAAATATAATAAAAAAGAAAAATCTTGTGTTTATTTTGAAGAGACAATAATAGGAGATAAATGATTCTTTTCAAGTCACACTAGCTAGTCCAGATCTATTGAGTCTTGTTTAAAAGCTCTATATGTGGAATGAATCATGAAGACTTTTCCCCTTTAAACATGTCAGGGGCTAGAAATTTCATCTCAAAAGTCTCAAAGTTCTCAAATGAGGAAGGGGTAGCATCCAGGCTTTTACACAGAGGCTTCAATCCACACACTTTAACTTGTGTCCCACCTTTGCACTAACCAAGCATTTGATCTAAATCATTCTTCTCTCTCTAGCTCACCTGCCTTTGCTTATCCCCCACACGCTAGCTCTTTCTTCTCCATTTACAACCTCTATCCAGCCACTGCTTTCCCCTCCTATTGGGAGATGGCCTGGCGAATTGAGTCTCTCTTCTGAAGCAGTGATTATTCCCTACAGGAGTATGAAAGACTGGTTTGTGCCAAGCTTGTTCTCTTGAGCTTTTTCACTCGAGAGTTTGAGTTCAAGCCTCTTTGGTTAGCACAGAAAAATACTGAAAAGTGTTTATGAAATTATTCCAAGTTCTCCTGGGATGTATTCTCCGAGGCCTATGATTCAATGTTATAAATGTTCTAGAATTAGTGCTCTGAATCGCTGAATTGTATTTATGAAAAGGTAGCTTCTGACTAGAAGTATGACGTCTGATAAAGCAGAGGGACATTTAAAGAGACAGAGTCAATCGGTAAGAAAGTGTCTGTGTGACTGTTATTGGCTTCTCCTGTGCAGATCTCCTCAGTGATGGTCGGAGAGGCTAGAAGGGATGTCTCTGTGCTGGATAATCTCTGAACACAGCTTTGAAACATTTGAATTAGTAGCCTCTGTTTTTGATACTAGGCAATTTCTTTTTCTCTTCTTTTCCTCAAAAGGCTTAGGAAATAATTGGAGGTATAAAATTTTGATAGGCACTAATCAATAATTAGAAGTTTGCTTCTGGAAGTTTTCTTGATTAGTAAGTCCAACTTCTAATGTTTTCAATTTAAAGGCTGAACCTAGAATTGAATTTATGACTCAGTGTTTCACCTCAGGGAGGTGGCGTGACAGCATAAGGGTCTAAGTTATAGAGAAAGCATGTAGCATCTCTGGTTATTTATTCTTTCCATCATGAATGTCTTGTTTCATGACATTCTCTTAATCAGCCTTTACATGTTTCCTATTTTTGTTACATGTTACTCTAAATTTCAAAATTCTGCTATCCACTTTCAAACATTTGGAACTGGATGTACTTTCTTTTTTATTAAAATACTTTTAAGTTTTTGATCCTGCACAATCCATTTTACTAAATTCAGCAGGATTTTTGACAACCAAAATATAAGTATTACGATTTATGAATTATCTATAATATATTAATATATAGCTAATGAATTGATTTTAATACATGATTATGGTAATATTCAGAATTAGGTCAACTTGTCTTCTACTGCCTGCAAATGTCCAACTTATTTGAATTCAAGATACTACTACATGTCTACAGAGCACTGTGTCCTTCTGGGTTTTCATCTCTTCGTGAATTTGATTCATTTTAAAAATATTACACAATGGTCAGTGGGCTTGGATTCCAGTGCTAACTTGTCTTCAAAGACCTTTGAACTTGGGCATGACAGACTTCCTCCTTGTCTTTGTTGTCCCAGTGTATCTTCCCCTCGTGACATTTTGTAATTATGTTTGTTCACCTTCCCTCCCCATTCGGAAGTTACCTTAACCTTACGGAATATGTAAATGACTTGTCATTACTCTTGCTTCCCAATAACATTGTGTACTGATGTTACTTTTCTTCTTGACACTATTTCTTTAAGATATAGTCTGGGTTTTCCTAGTTGTTTTATTTATGCATTGCTTAAATGTTGAGTTAGCATCATTTTGGGCCAGGGACTATGGTGGGCATTGTAGATATGGCAAAGAACAGAACAAAATCTTGCCCTCTTGGAGCTTACACTTGGGGAAGGAATTAGATTACATATAATGAGGTAATGGGTGGAATGTTATTTGCTATTTTATGTGTTTTTTTTCAGTTCTCTGTTTAGCTGTGTGGTGTCAAATGTTTGCCTAAAATTGCTGTGCCAACAAAATGAAGGATGGCCTATCTGTGCTTTTTGAATAAGTAATGATTAAAAAAACTTATTAATAAAAGACAGTGGGGAGTGTGGAGAAAGAGTAGAGAGCAAAGGGGAGACAGAGTAAGAAAGAGAAAAAGAGAGAGAGAGAGATAGAGATAGAGAAACTTTTAAGTTACATTTTCACAATAATCAAAAATTGGGCTTTTTCTTAAGTCATCATGCTCACAGGAAGAATAGGCCATGGAGAAGCCAATCTCAATATAAAGCTTGGGCAGTTATCAGTAGACTGCAGTCAAGTCTCATAATTTACAAATAACCTAAGAGAGGTACTAATAAAATATGGCCCTCTTTTTGTGTTTCTGTAGTGTGGTCACATTTAATCAACTCACACACAACCATTTTGAACCTAATAAACATTTATAATAAATATACATCAAGTAGACTGAATTTTGGGGTTGTTATACGATTTTTTTTGTGAATACCATTTACTTTAGTCACTCTTTGACACTTTGTAATTGTGATATTGGATTTCATAGCTATATAAAATTGGGAAAATAAATGATACTTATAGCCATGTATAGAAATGGAACATAAATTACAACACACATTTGTTTTCAGCATTATGTTAAATTTTTCAAAGTATATAGTGTATGAGTTGCACCATAAGTACAAGAACTTAGATACTGTTTTGTGTTATTCAGATCAACTTGTAAGCCAAAATCATTCATTATCCTTTTATATCACCACACTATTCTGTAGGAATAGATTCCTGTTTATAGATGTTGCCATTGTTATTTGGGGTAAATGCAAACTAAAACTCTCAGCTATCAGTCTGTGACTTTATGCTTTTATATTATGTCATAAAAACGATACATGCTCCAACAGAAATGAAAAAGCAAAATCAGAGCTCGGTGGTTGAATTTATCCTTTTGGGCTTTTCTAACTTTCCTGAACTCCAAAAACAACTTTTTGGTGTTTTCTTGATTATTTACCTAGTAACTGTGATGGGAAATGCCATTATTATAGTCATCATCTCTCTGGCACAGAGTCTCCATGTCCCCATGTACCAATTTCTCCTGAACTTGTCTGTGGTGGAAGTGAGTTTCAGCGCAGCCATTATGCCTGAGATGCTGGTGGTCCTCTCCACTGAAAAAACGACAATTACTTTTGCAGGTTGTTTTGCACAAATGTATTTCATTCTTCTTTTTGGTGGGACTGAATGTTTTCTCCTGGGGGCAATGGCTTATGACAGATTTGCTGCAATTTGCCATCCTCTGAACTACCCAGTGATTATGAACAAAAATGTTTTCATGAAATTAGTAATGTTCTCATGGGCCTCAGGGATCATGGTGGCTACTGTGCAGACCACATGGGTATTTAGTTTTCCCTTTTGTGGCCCCAATGAAATTAATCATCTCTCCTGTGAAACCCCAGCAGTGCTGGAGCTTGCATGTGCAGACACCTTTTTTTTTGAAATCTATGCATTCACTGGCACCATTTTGATTATCTTAGTTCCATTCTTGTTGATACTATTGTCTTATGTTCGTATTCTCTTTGCCATCCTGAAGATGCCATCCAACACTGGGAGGCAGAAGGCCTTTTCTACCTGTGCCTCCCATCTGACGTCTGTTACCCTCTTCTATGGCACAGCCAATATGACTTATTTACAGCCCAAGTCTGGCTACTCTCCAGACAGCAAGAAACTGATATCTCTGTCCTACTCACTTCTTACCCCTCTGCTGAATCCACTGATCTACAGTTTTCGAAACAGTGAGATGAAAAGAGCTTTGATGAAATTATGGCAGAGAAGAATTGACTTACACACATTTTGACTGTTTCGAGAGCCATGTGATACTCGGTCACTGCCTGACTGAACTGTATTAAATTCACTAATGTTAAAAATAGTTTTCATCTTGATGTGATTATATTTAGTTTATTGAATTCTCTAAATTTCAAAATATATCAGTGATACCAGCCTTTCAAAATTGTATCATCATTTTTAATATATTTATAAATTTTGATGACATATGATGTAATAATTTATTCTCCCATACTTCTATTATGATTGTCCAGGTCATTCTGTATTGTCATTAAGACAAAGCTTCAATAAATACCTCGTTTCATATGTTCATATGTAGTGGTGTTTTATTTCTCTGGCAGATTCTTCAAAGTAGACAAATAAGATGAAGAGTAACTCTGTGCTTTAGATTTTAGTAGCTCTTGCAGAATTCCCTTTCAAAATGACTGCAAGTTCTGCAGACATACCTGAGAGTTCACTGTACTACACTATCAGGGGGAGAGCCAACAAATAAGTTAGATTTTAAAAATTTGTTGTGAAAACTGAGGAAACAATGTGCTTTTGGGAGCCCAAACTGGCTTCACTTCATGAGCTCACACAGATTACAATATCAAAATGGATTTCTCTTGGTATTTTTTCCACACATTACCTAATGTTGGTGATCAAAAAAGTGAAGGAGAACTTTCCAAAAAGTTGATATTATTCATTTAGATACCACTGTTTTCTGAAGCTTTGTTAAATTTCCTGTTGTACACCAAAATTGCCCTCCAGAGACTTTATTTATAAACAATGGATGAATTTATTTTTTTGTTGTGGGAAAACAGTGTGAATAATTGTGCATATTTTCTATGGTCCTTGATTCCCATCACTAGCTATAGTCTTTTTTAGTATGAATGGCCTCTCATTTGCAACATTTGAGGCATTTCATGTTTGCATGTTTCTGTTATTGAATAGAGAGAACCCTTTTACATGAGCTCCTATAACTCCTAGAATTTCTACTCTGTGGTTATTAATAAAAGAGTAATAGCTATTCTCCCATTGGTAGTTGTTATTCAGCTGTGGAAAAATTAATTTTACTGCTTCTGTGAAAATTAGAAGGGCAGGTACAAAATGGATTGGATTTTTACAGAAGGAAATTTATTTATTTATTTATTTATTTATTTTTAAAGATTCATTTATTTACACATACAAGAACTGGGGTACAGGCCAGAGGTGCAGGGGTGGGTGAGAGAATTCACCAGAGACAGAGTGGGGAACAGAACAGGCAGATTAACAGAAAAACACTGCTGAGGGGAGCAGCGGGCAAGTCAGGAAGGGTCTGCTGTGCCATGTGGGTATCTCCCTGTCTGGGGATTGAACTTGTGCTGCAGTGACTGCAGTGAGCTTCATAAGTTGCATTTTAACCCCTTGTGCCACCAAGGAGGCCCCCAAAAGGAAATTTAAAGATCAAAGAGTAAAACCAGTTTGAGTAAATTTTGAATATTATATTATTTTTCAGTGACTCATTAGACAGGCACATATTGATCCTCTTAATAGATTCTGTCTCTTAACTGTCCCGAAATTTCATTCAGGAGACTACTATATGAAAAAACATACACATTTTGGGGATCACAGAGGAGGAAGAGAGAGAGAAATTGGCAAAACAAAACTTGAAATAATAGCTAAAGTCATCTCAAACTTAAGGAGAGAAATGGATATACAGAATCAAGATGATCAAATGTCCCTAATATGTTGAATCCAAAAAGAACTATGCCAATATATAGTATTCTTAAATTGTCAATAGAAAAAGACAGAGAACTTTGAAAGCGACAAGAGAAAAGTGACTCATCATATACATGGTTGCCCCCATGAAACCATGAGTGAATTTCTGAACAGTAAATTTGTATGCTAGAAAAGAGTGGGATAATAAATCCAAAATATCAAAATAACAACACAAAAACAACAACAAACTCCTATCAAGTAAGAATACCTAGCAAACTGTCTTTCAGAAATGAAGGCAAGATAAAAATTCCCCAAACAAACAAAAGTTGAGGACATGCATTACCACTAAATATTCCATAAAATTCATCTAAAGGATGTTCTTAAAGATGAAATGAAAGGATAGTAATTAATAATATCTTTAAAATATCAGAATGCATAAAAATCAGCAGTAAAGCAATAAAAAGCAGAAGCAATAGAAGTAAAACCAAGTGGAACTATACCAAGCCCCATTTACAATAGCCTGCAAAACAAAATACCTGTGAATGAATTTAACTAAGGAGGTGAAATACTAATTAACAAAAGAAATTGGTAAAAGAAATTGAAAAAGACATAAATAAATGGAAAGAGTCCATACCTGTAGATTACAAGAATTAATATTGTTAAAATGTCCATATTACCCAAAACAATCTACAGATTCAATGCAATTTCTATGAAAATTCCAATGGTATTTTTCACAAAAATAGTAAAAATACCCTAAAAATCTTATAGAACCAAAAGACCCCAAATACACAAAGCATCCTGAAAAAGAATAACAAAGTTGGACATATCATACTTTCTGACTTCAAACTACATTCCAAAGCTAGAGTAATCAAAAACAGTATGATGTTGGCATAAACACAGGCCAGTGGAATAGAATTAAGAGCCCAGAAATAAACTCTTACATATAGGGTGAACTATTATTTGACAAGGGAAACATGATACTCACTTGGAAATATATAGTCTCCAATAAATAATGCTGGAAAAACTAGATATTCACATGTAAAATAAAGAAACTGGCATCTTATGTTGTACTATTCACAACAATTAACTCTATACAGATTAAAGGCTTGGACATAAGACCTAAAGTCTTAAAGTTCTAGAAGAAAACATAGGAAAAAAATGCTTTGACATTGGTGTAGGGTAAATGAGTGAAAATCAGGCTTTTTTCCTGCCTTGCCACCTCTAGTGTGGATGTCCAGGGCTGAGAGGCATCGGTGTGGAAAAAAGCTTGTTGACTTCATTTACCTTACAATTAGTCTTGGCAATGATTTTTTGGATATGATACCAAAAGCACACGTAATAGAAGAAAAATCAACAAGTGGAACTACACCAAACTAAAAAGCTTCTGCAGAGCCAATGAAAAACAAGATGAATTCCAATGTGCCTATTAAAAGATCCCCAGGTTACTCGGATGTACTTTAAAATGGGAAACATTGTTGTATAGTAGATTTATAGCTTTATAATAAAGATGAGTTATTTATTTCCTTTAGTACTCCTCTGCCATCAAATAATTTCAACTCATTACCTCATATTAATTTACTGACAGTTTCCTAAAACTGTGATGTGTTTGTGTGATTCTTGGCTCATCTATGCCTGCTTGCTTACCTTTGTGTTAAAGGGCAGTCTTTACTACTAGGTTACCTATCCAGTTCTCATTGTTTCAAATAAGAGGATCATAGGTTTTGTCCTCCAAGAAGTGATTACAGTGATTCTTGGAGTTATAATGCATCAGAATCACTTGGAAGGATGTTAAAACACAGATTGCACAGAGTGTCTGTTTCAGTAGATCTATGGGGAAGCCTGCTAATTTGTGTTTCAAATGAGTTCCCTGGTGGCTCTGAAGATGACCTGGGCACCACACATTGAGAACCACAACTCTAGAAAGCTCAGTCCTCTTACTTCTGTAGTCAGCATTTCTTATGCTTGACTGGCTGATGCATGGGTGTTATCCTACCATGGCGAATGAGGAGGAGGGATCTTTGGATTGGAATCTTTGGATTGGAACAGTGAATGAGAACACTGTTTTATCAGGATTACTTTTATATTTCCTACTCACACATATAAAATAGAAAGAACCTCTCTAAATATTGTTGGTAACCTGTTGTTGCTAGGGTCAGGTGATTTTTGGAGAATGGACTGGCTCCAGGAAAGCAGTGATGAGTAGATGAAGGTAACCTGTGTTCTGGCCAGTCGTCCAGTTCTGGACAAAGCCAAGTTGGCAGATTTATTTATCTCTTCATTCTTCTGGGACTGAGCCAAACTCAGTAATCTCCTCAAGCCAGTTTCGGTTGATCCCAATCCCTGTTTCTCATATATACTTGTGAGATTAATAATAGTGTTTCTTTTAGAGAAAGAAATAGAATCAGAGAAGATAAATGATTTACTCAAGTCATACAAAGTTGTGCAGATCTTTTGCCCTCTAGTTTAAAATCTCTGTCTGTTAAATTAATTGGGGTGACATCTTAAAAAAAATTAAGCGACTTTTTATTTCTACTAGAAATGATAGAAAGCTTATGGATGAGCCAAGGGGTAGTTCCCAGGCATTCTACAAAGATGTTTGTATTTGTCTTAATTGGTTTCCACCACTGCACAAACTGGCATTCCATCTAGTCATTTCTCTACCTCTGGTTCACCTGCCTTTGCTCCTACCCTCACCCAGCAGGTCCTCTTTCCCCACTACAACATTTATTCAGCCTCTGCTTTCCTCTCCTATTGGGAGGGGTCATGGTGAAATTGAGTCTCTTGTGTGAAGAGGAATGTATTCCCTATAGGAATTATAAAAGACTGATGCTCCAAGTTTGTCCTCTTGAGCTCTCTCACCTGAGGGGCCAAATTCAGACCTCTTTTGTAATCACAGAAAAAACTGAAACATGTTTATAAAGTGCCTCTAAATTCTCTAGAGATGGATTCTCCAGGGCATATATTTTAATGTCATATAATGTTCAAGAATCACTGCATTATATAATTGAGAAGGTAGCTATTGACTAGAGGTAAAACTTCTGATAAAGTAGAGGGACATTTAAAGAGAGTCAATAGGTAAGGAAGTGCAGATTCTGCTGTGTAGCTGTGCATGGGTTTCAATTACAGTTGTTCTCATTCGTGGTTGGAGATGTTTGAAAAAATGCCTCAGTGCTCAGAATTCACTCAACAATGTGAACATTTGAATTGCTAGACTATTTTCGGTACTAGTCAGTTTCTTTTTCTTCCCTTTCAGAGACAAGTTTGGGTAATAATTAAAGTTACAAGTACTTACGTGCACAAAATTTCAAAAGTTAGAAGTTTGCAACTGAAGGGAATTTGGTAGATAAATTTTAGCTTCTAACATTTTCGACAGAAGGTTGAAACAGAGAAGGAAGTGATTGAAGTTTGTCACTTTAGTGAGTTGCTCAAGACAACAGTGGGGTCTTCCTAGTTATGGAAAAAATGTGGAGCTATTGTTATTTGCTCTTTCCCACTCACAAATGTTTTGTTCTATAAGATACTTTTAATGAGTTCTTTAAAGTTTTTCATTTTCTTTATATAATATATAAATTTTCTAATTTTCAAAATTTTATCTACTTAAAAATTTTTGTAACTGAGTAGATGTTATTTTTTCCTTCAGAAATGGGTTTCAATGTTTGTATCTATGACCATATTTTACTAATTTGAGTTGATTTTTTGACATCAGAAATGTAAATGTTATAGTTAATACTGATATTTAATTTTAATGGGTTATTACAGACAAACAGTAATAAGTTAACTTGCCTTCTGTTATCTGCTAATGTCCTACTGATCTGTGCTCAAGGCATCTGCACATGTCTTCACTTGCTGTGTCCCTTTGTTCTCCTGGGTTCTTCACCTCTTACAGTGCTTTCCTGCTAGTTCTCAAACCGTGCAAGACTGGTAAGACTCCATCCAGGGCTAAGTGTCACTCTCCTCCTAATTCCTTTCTCCTTACACCTCATGTGTGCCCCTTAGATGGCATCCTACAATTATGGTTGTTCCCTCTTCTATCAAAGTTAATTTTTCCCTCATTGAAATGTCTGAAGCTCTTGCTATTACCTCTGCTTCCCAAAGTGTTGTGTTTTGGTTTCACTTTTCTTTAGACACACTATTATTTAAAGCATAGTGGATTTTCATCATTTTAAAAATTCTTTCATTCATCAGATAATGACAGTATCTATTTTTGGTGAGGAATTACAGGCATTATGAATATAGCAAAGAACAGAACAAAATCTTTGACCCCTGGAGTTTATATTTTAGGAAGGAAGTTATATTTTACTTGTATGTATAATCAAATCTACAGATAAATATGTATATTCTGAATGAGGAGGGAACAAGCATAAACTTAGAATGTTATGTGTTAACAACACATGAGGTATAAGGAGAAAACAATGTGGAGTGATGGCTTCTTCAGATTATATGCATACACATACATACATGTGTATATGTGCTTGTATATAATGGCAATTTGTGATAATGGAGAAAAATGAATAAGGCATATGAGAGAGAGATTAGAGAGTTCTACGGTAAGGGTGGAATACTATTTTATGTAGGATTTCCAACTCTGTACAAATGAAATTTGCTGAACCTAGAAAATGGTGGGTGCTCAGTTCTTGTTGAATAATTAATAATCAAATTAATAAACTTTCTGGTGATGGAGGGGATGTTGAAATCAGTTTCAGAATGATCAAAATTGAACTTTTCTGAAGCCATCAAGATCACAAGGATGAGCCATAAAGAAGGGACCCTTAAATTTTTCCCTGGAGGTCAACCCCATGATAACTGGCTATCACCAGTCTGCACAGACATCAGTCAGCTCAATCAATTCACATTATTTACATGTCACCTAAGATGGTACAGCTCAAATACAACCTCTGTGTGTTTTTGCAGTTTTCATGTCTAATTGGGTCAATTATAGGCATTTTGAACATGATGAATATTTATAATAAATATAAATCAACTGTGTGAAAATTTTGAATTGTTAGGTTATTCTCAAAATATTTATATTTTGAAAAATATAAATATATATTATTGTCTACCTTTTAACACTTTATTTTTTTGTTTTAAACTATATATATATATATATATATAAAATTGGGAAAATAGATGATGGTGATAGTAAAGTCATTGAATGGAACCTAAGTTATGAAACATTATTTTTCAAATTAATTTTTTATAACTAATTTTTTTATTTACATCTTTTACATCATTGTGTATTCCCTGTAAAATTCCCACCACCAATTCACCTGTGAACCTTCACCATAGTGTCTTGTGCTCTTCCCTCTCCTGTTTTGATCCCTCTGCCTCCCCATTCCTTGCAGAATGTCTTTTATTTATGGTTGCCTGCTGGTTTTGTTTTCATTATTATTGTTATTATTATTGTTCCCCCAATCCCTTATTTGGATCTCCCTATATACCTCCTATAAGTGAAACCATTTGACATTTTTCTTTTTCCTTCTGGCTTATTTCACTGAACATGATACCTTCTAGCTCTGTCCATGTTGTTGAGGTTGCTGCGAATGGCATGAGTTTATCATTTTAGATTGTTGAATAGTATTCCATTGTGTATATATACCACATCTTCTTGATCCAGGCATCTATTTTGGGGCATTTGGGTGGTGAAACTTTATTCTTTTTTAAATATAGGTAACCTTGGTTTACAACACTATGTGATTTGAGGTATAGGTATAAAACATTTTTGTTTCTTTTAAGAATGTGTTTAATTTTCAAACTCTACAATGAATACATTGAAAAAATTTTTGGGTATTATTTTGTCCTTTTCAGACAAGATTTCTGAACCAGGATGTGAAAGATTCACAAACCATTCTCCAAAATCATCAAACTGAATTTCTTCCAATATGAGCTCATTTTTACATCATCTGCCAAGACTGTCTGGGGTGAATGCAAAGGCTGCTTCTGAGCTGTTTGACTATGACCTCATACTTTACATACTTTGTCCATGAATACAAGACTTCTCTATTGAAATGAAAAGGCAAAATCAAAGCTCTGTAATTGAGTTCATTCTTCTGGGCTTTTCAAACTTTCCTGAACTCCAACAGCAGCTCTTTGTGGTTTTCTTGATTATTTATCTGGTGACCCTCATTGGAAATGCCATCATTATAGCCATCATCTCACTAGACCAGAGACTCCACGTCCCCATGTACCTGTTCCTCCAGAATTTGTCTGTAGTGGACATGAGTATCAGTGCAGTCATTATACCTGAGATGCTGGTGGTCTTCTCCACTGAGAAAACACCCATTTCATTCATGAGTTGTTTTGCACAGATGTATTTCATACTTTTTTTTGGTGGGACTGAATGTTTTCTCCTGGGGGCAATGGCTTATGACCGCTATGCTGCCATCTGCCATCCTCTGAGCTACCCAGTGATCATGAACAAAAGCACTTTCATGAAATTCGTTTTATTCTCATGGGGCCTGGGTTTCATGTTGGGTACTGTGCAAACGTCATGGGTGTCCAGTTTTCCCTTCTGTGGCCCCAACGAGATCAATCACATCTCCTGTGAAACCCCAGCAGTGCTGGAGCTTGCATGTTCAGACACCTTTTTGTTTGAAATCTATGCGTTTACTGGTACTGTTTTAATTATCTTAGTTCCATTCCTGTTGATACTCTTGTCTTATGTTCGAATTCTCTTTGCCATCCTGAAGATGCCATCCAACACTGGGAGGCAGAAGGCCTTTTCTACCTGTGCCTCCCATCTTACTTCTGTTACCCTCTTCTATGGCACAGCTAATATGACCTATTTACAGCCCAAAAATAGCTACTCCCCAGACACCAAGAAACTGATATCTCTGTCCTACTCACTTCTTACCCCTATGCTGAATCCACTGATCTACAGTTTTCGAAACAGTGAGATGAAAAGAGCTTTGATGAAATTATGGCGAAGAAAAGTCGACTTACACACTTTCTGACTGTTTTGAGAGCCATGTGAAAGTTGGTCATTACATGATTGAACTGTATTTAAATTTAATAAATAGTTGAAACAGTTTGCAACTCTTGATATGAGTTTCTTTAACATTTTGAGTTATGAAAATTTGATGTAATATTAGGGGCATCTTTTAAATAAATTTTGATCAAGGCAACATTGGTTTACAACATTATATAAGTTTCAAGTATACCATATTATAATTGATATATGTACATACTATATTGTGATCACCACCTAAATTCTAGTTTCTCCATCACCATATAATGCATCTAGGAGAAACTTCACAAATTAATGTTTTGGTTTTTTTTCCTAGAGGCATAATCTATGAACACTTTCGTATTAGAGTTTCTTCAAAAGTTTGTTGATGGTCATGCAGTACTTTTTCTCTTTAGAAAATATGTAATAAATTATTTTGTACATTAATACATTATGGTACTTCAATTTCTGTAGAGCACATTTCACAAAGTGATTGGGTCAAAGCAACTATGAATTTGTAAACTTTTATAAATATTGCTACTTACTTTTTAAAATAATAGAAATAACTCCAGGTTGACTTTGCTGTTTTTTTCATTATCTTTGTACCTATCCCTGCCAAAAATTGAGGGTGGAAGTGCAAACTGATATGACTTTCAGAAAAAGAATTTTCATCAGCAGATTGCTGAAAACTTGTGGGTGATATTTTAATATTGTATAATACTATTTTCATTTGCACATAGAAAAATATAAGCAAAAATTTTGATGGAATCCCATCCCTTGGAATCCTGAAATTTTCTTCTCTTAGCATATAAAAGAATCAATTAATTTAGGTTTACTTAAAAGAAACGAACAATCAAACAAAGAAAAGCCAAATGCAGTTTCCTTTTCATCATTTTTTAGTTCATTCTTTTATTCATTGATTGTATTAAATAATTTTAAAATGTCTAGGTTTTGATGTCTTTTTACTGAACTTGCCAGGGATGTCAGTTCTTTTAGTTGGAATACTTTACTTCAAATATGTCTGCTATTGGGGTATTCTGGTGGCCCAAAGTGTTAAGTCTCAGCACTATGAAGCTATCAGCAGACACTGCAGCACAACGAGTTCAATTCCTGGCCAGAGAGCTACCCACATGGTGCAGCAGACCTCTCCTGTCTCCCCCGCTGCTCCCCTCAGCAGTGTATTTCAGTAAATCCACCTGTTCCGCTCCCCACTCTGTGTCTGGTGAATCCTCTCACCTCTCCTCCTCCCTTGCACCTCTGGCCTACACCCCAGCTCTTGCATTCATAAATAAATAAAACAATATATTTAAACAACAACAACAACAAAAAAAAATGTGTTTGTTATTATTGTTTCCATTTCAATTATTCTGATATTGAGTCCTAGGTCAAGTTAAGGTTAAGTAGACAGCTTCAGGGACAATACAGGCAGGGGCATCAGGAGCATTAAAGAGGCTTCTGAGATAAGGGGAGTAAAGTCTTGGAGGTGCTACCCAAAACATACTCCAGAGATGAGGTCAGAAATCCAGGAAGGCTAATGAGAACAGTAAAGTTTGAGAGACTTTGGCCAGGATAGGTACAAGAGAAATAAGATAAGAGCTGGGAAAGTGGGCACATCTGCCAGGAGAAGTATAGCCACTGGGAGGAAGAGCTGATCACAAAATAGGATGATGAGATGTTTGGAATAGAGAAAAAAGGGTTTAAATATACCCTATACACGTGCCCATATGGCCTCTTCACCCCTCACAGGTACAGCAGACCTGGGAATCCTTTCTTTCTTCCTTTAAATAAACTGTTTTTTTCTTTCTTGAATAAAGTTTTCTTCTCTCTGCTTACTTATCTAAGAAGTCTGTGAATTCCTTTTTATGGCTTTGTGGGACAAAAAACTGTGGTGGTTTAAGGGCTAAATTAACAGCGCACAGTGGTTTCAGTAGCCTGGGATACCTGTAATTCTCAAGTTGTAGTTGCTCCCCATATCACCATTGTCCCTCTTTGGAAAAACCCCAATATACACGAGTGGATTTTGTGACCTATATATTCCCTACCTCACCTTCACTACCCCTTATGGTTCATTGACCCATAAGTAGACCTGCAGCAATTACATTCTGCAACATCCTGGACAGAACATCCACAAGCTCTTATCACTAAAGTTATTTCTCTAGATTTCCCTGTTATTTATTTATTTAGGTTTTTTTTTTTTTTTTTTGGTCCTCAGTGGGCTTAACAGATAAATCTATAATCTAACAGGGTGTACTTATCTCTATGAAGGGAATATATCAAAAGAATATCCAGGTAGATGGAGTCTGGCAAGATGGCAGAAGAGTGAAGATGCTAGGCCACTGCCTCCACCAATTTACAACCAAATTACATAAAAATGGAGACAACTGTACCTGGTGGCTGAACAAACAGCTATGTTTGCATCAAGGGGGATAACATAGTAAAAAGGTGAGAAAAAACTGCAATTTAATTGTGTTGGAAGCATTGCCAGGGTAGTGCAACCCAAAAAAGGGAGGTGGTAGCTCAATACAAAGCCCTTCTGCTGTTGTTAACTGACACTGGGATTTTAGAAGCTGGGGGGTGTCCTGGAAAGCAAGGGAACACACAGTCACCATGTATGATGGAGGTTCTGTCTCTGGAAAACTGTAGGAGTAGGGTTGTAGGGACCCCAGTGGTAGAATGTCAGGGTAGTAAACTGGTTCCTGCAGATGCAGATGATACACTGATCCACTACCACATGACAACTAGGTACCACGGCCAGGGAGTATAACATCCTAACCCCCTAAATAAGGGGGTTTGAGGACAGTGGACAGTATTGGTAACTGCCAGTGGAGAGTCTGAGGTAGTGATTGTCAGCTTGAACTTGAAGAGACCCGTAGAGACACTTGAAAGAGACACATGCATGAGAGACATATGGGTGAAAGAAACGTGGGATTACTGTCCTTGGTAAAGACAACAGCAGCCATTATCTTGATTTGTACTTTTCTTTTTCTCCCTTTGTCCCAGTTTTCAGGGGCCTGTCTTACCCTTTTCTTGCTGTTCTCCTCCAGAAGTTTCTTTAGAGTTATGGAAAGTTTTCAAGCCTTAGTAGTCCCCCTTTGGGCTGACCCTGTTTGGCTGGTTATTTACTCAAGAATGGATGGGTAATTTGGGCGGGGGGTAGTTATGGTGAAACCATTAGGAATATCTTCTCTTCTCTGCTATGCACACTAACTCTAGGAAAGATCTATCACACTAAGAGTCAGCCTTTGTGCATACTGCTGGCTGAATCCCCTGAGAAAGTGTAAGTTTGGGGTCCTTGTATGCCCATTGGTTGTGTGCTAACATAGTGCATTGTATATTTGAAAGTTAAATTTTATAGAAGTAAAAAAGAAGAATCACATGTGGTGATGAACATTAAACTTATTGTGGTAAACATTTAGCAATGTAGCCATATACCAGATCATTATGTTGTATACCTAAAACTAGCATGATGATATATGCCAGTTATATTACAATTAAAAATAGGGTATTCTTCAGTGATGGTGGCACTTGCCTTCAGTTGCAAGTATGTGGTGGCTACTAGTAATTTGGTCTCTCTACCTTGACCTCAATTTGGGCCCCATTGCTTTTGCATGACAGCGCAAATGTAGGCACAGTGAACATGTTACATGATGTATTAGAATTATCACAAATGCAGATTAAACTCTATGAATCCTCTGCCAGTGACTCACAGAACACACTTTGAAAAGCACTGCAATACACTGAAATGTCAAAGCTGATTCTGTCAATCTGCTGTTTTGGGGGCATTTTGTAATTTCTAGAACTGTAAAGATTTTCCTGGAATATGTTTCTAGAAGTGGAATTGCTGTATTAAAACAAGTATATACTTTAAAAAACCATTGAGGCATATTACCAAATCTTTAGAGAAAGAAGTGTCAAGATAGCCCTGCCTTCACTGTCTAAGGGCCTTGCTCCCAGTACTCCCTGTTGCTTTCGCTATCTGCTTAAGACAAAGAGCCTCCAGAACTGGTCAGAATTCAGTGACGGTATGAAGATAGTTCTTCAATTGGCCAAAAATTTACATCTATTTCCCAGCTCAAATTGTATCTAGTCACATTAATCTGTTAGTGTGCGATCTGTGGGGCACCCCAGAATATCCTAACTTGCACACTCTAAAGAGGGTCTGCCATTCACTGCATTAAGACAAAGTATACTCTTAGTGTGAAAGAATTTTAATTAACAGTGTTCATGGAGAGAGAAGAGAAGAAAGGATAATAATTTCCCAAGAAAATACCCGAAGATAGCCAACCCTTGAAGGGTGAATGTCCAGCCAAACAGGGTTTGCCCAAAGCAGGACCACTGAGTTCCCAAAGCTTGCCACAGTCTAAAGCATCTTCAGGCAGAGAACCACAGGAAAGGGGCAGAAGGGGCCAGACACAACTAAACAAAAGGAGCAAAATGTAAGTACAAATCAAGATAAGCTGCCATTGTCAGCTTCCCCACTAGTCTGACCCATGTGTCTCTTTCGGTGTCTCCATACACCTTAACTCCACATGTCTCCTCCAGGTTCCCCAAGTCCTTGGTGCGAGTCCAGAGCTGAAAAGTAAGTAGGACTTCTTCACACACCTCTCTGCTCCCTGTGCCTTCTCCAATACTTCTCTCCAAGTCTCCTTCAGCGGCCCCTCTTCTGCTCAGCTCCACCTTTCATTAAGTGGGGCAGAGAACACGGAACCTCCTCTTTTTATGGAAATTATACTGTATTAAACTTTGTATCAGCAGAATTTGAGCTCAATCTCTCCCTCCTATTGCAAGAGTCTTATAGTCTCTTTTACTTCCTTGACTCTGGCCACTGCAATTTTTACATCAACAGATCTTTTAATACAAATTTCATGTAGAATGAGAATTAAAAGAGCACAAATTTCCAATGCTTCTTCCCTATCCTCTAGGCAGTCTATAATTTACAGGGTTTTATGTTTGATATTTTACTGTATTCATTAGCATACCCATAAGGTTCCTGGAGACCCCTGATAG